ACATTTGATTCAAAATCGAATGTCGAGGTGTAGAAATCTTTTCTAAATGTGACATAAGTTGCTTGACCTCTATATTTATATGTTATGACAAAATTAACACATGCATGTATAAGGTTTGCATTGCCATGCTACTTGTGATCTTCTCTAAATTTATTAAATGTTCAAATGTGTGTTTCAAATATTTTTTTTGAAGTAGTGTGGTCTTTCATGAACATTCATTGTAAATCCTTAAGAAAACACAAGGTTCCCACTCTTCCATTCAGCATAAATACCAACATCGGCTAGGTGTCGGCAATGAAAACTGTTGTTTGGAGCATTCTTGGACGGCGAAATCCACTTCACGGAGTTGTTGGAAGTTTCCAAACAGCAAGAGAAGCCTTCGAAACCTCCCAAACAATGGTTTGGTATGCAATGCCCTCCAAATGCATGAAATAGCATCATGTTGCTTTCCAATGCAAAACAGTGAAAGTTTGTTTATGCATTGGAAATCAACATGATGCTATTTCATGCATTTGGAGGGAATTGGATACCAATCCAACGCCCTTATGCATATCCAAAGTTTCTAAAGGACCTAAGGCTTGGGGATGTCAACCACACAACCATGGTCTTAGGGGACCCTAGGTCTTACTAAGTTTTAAGATTTTACTTCACACGGGCTGTCCAAGCGCTCTAATCCAAGCTCCAAGTGTTGTCCAAGCTCCTTTGAAGACTCCAAGCTGTTATCCAAGACGTTCTCGAGGAAGGAGATTGCTGTCCAAGCCATTTCGGATGTCGCCTCTGCTGTCCAAGAGGTTCCCCTGGAAGGAGACAGCTATCCAAGCCGCTCCCAAGCCTCCAAACCATTGTTTGGGAGGTTTTGAAGGCTTCTCTTGAAAGACTATTTCTTTAACTTTTGGAACTTTTGCAAGTTAAGGGATAAATCCTTGGCTTTGTAGTTGTTACATATTAGCAAATTTTGAAGGCATTATCATTGTGAATTTACATAATCTATAGTTTTGCATATTCATTTAAGGATCTGAGCTCATAGCTTTATGTCGACCCAATCTAAAATATTCATTGTTTTATTGGAAAAACTTCAATGAATCTTTACTATAAAACTTTAAAATGCCTAGTCTTGCACGAGGAGTTTCAGCAATTCTTTACTATAAAACTTAAAAAATGCCATGTGTTAAAGGCGGAATTTCGACACATCTTTACTATACAATTTAAAAAATGCTTGCAAGAGGAATTTATGTGATGTTTTAGAAATACATTCTTGCTTCACAAGAGAGTTTCTATAACATATGAGTATAGTTTTTATAATAATCTTGAAATGCATTCTCGTTTTGCAAGAAAAGTTTTAGAGAATTATCATATATTATTTATAATAATTTTAGAAATGCTTTATTACTTTTAAGAGTGTTTTTAGTGGATTTTCATGTAATCTAGAAACACATTCTTGCTTCATAAGTGAGTTTTTAGGGAATTCGGGTGGACTTTTTATATGATAACCTGTAAATGCATTCTTGTCCGACATGAGATTTTCCAAAGAATTGGCATGTAACTTTTCAATAAATATAAGGATGACATTTTCTTAAACAAGTGAGCTTTTGAATACAATATTTGTCATCATTCCTTTCATGTAAAATACTTGTATATATATCATTTATTGATTGGTGACATAGGATTTTGACCGTTTAGATCGATAGGTTAATAAGCTCTACTTTGATACATCTTCTCAATGATATAAGGACCTTTCCAATTTTGTTCAAACTTATTGCCAATTTTGTGGTGGGGAAGGATTGACCTTCATTAGGACTAACTTCCCTTCCTGAAATGTTCAAGGATGTACCAAATGATTAAATGATCTAGACATCTTTGCTCCATATATCTCAAGATTTTGCTGGGCTTGTTGTTGGAGTTCATCAAGTGCATGGAGCCTTTCCATTCGTAGCTTAACATTATGATCTTGAGTGAGGTCACACTGAATATAATTACTCGAAATGATGATAACTCAACTTCTAATGGCAATACTGCTTCATCTCCGAACTCAAAAGCATAACGAGTGGCTTTTGTTGGCGTCTTGTAGGTAGTACAATAAGTCCATACAATTTCTATCATCTTTATATGCTATGTTGTTTTATTCTTTGTGAGGGTCTTCTTAAGTTGCCTTATTAGTGTTTAATTAAAATATTTTGCCATGCCATTTACCCTTGAATTGTAGATTGATGAATATCGCCAATCAATTTCATGTTGATCAACAAATTTATATATCTTTGTGCTTTAAAGGCTAGGCCATTATCATAGATAAGGTGGTGTTGCACATCAAATATGTAGACAATATTGTAAGTGAAGAAATTAATCGCATTCTCAATGGTAATTTCTTTGAATTGAGCTGCATCAACCCACTTAAAAAAAAGTAGTCAGTCACTATTAGTAGGAAGTAGTGTCCTATTTATGATGGTGGGTCGATTGGGCTAACAATATATGTACCCCAACATTCAAATAACCAAGATGCGATTTTGTGTAGTGGATTTGATGGTTGATATAGAGTAATATCGTGAACTTGAAATTCGTGGTACTTCCTAGCATGTTCGGCACACCTTTCACCATCGATGGCTAGTAATAGCTAATTCTTTCGATCATAATAACTATTTTGGGGCATGATTGATGTGCACCATAGAGCTCTTCATGAACTTCAAATATAACCTTTCACCATCAGCTGTTCCTAAATATCACAATCACATTTGATCAAAGAACCTTTGGTATAGAGTGTTGTTCACGAACAAATACCGCAATACCCTTTTCCCAATTTATGTGACTAATGATTTATCTATTGGAAGTTTTCTCTCTCTGAAGTAAGTGATGAAATGTTACCTCCAATTATCTCGCTCTTTAACCCCTTGGGATTCTAGTCGTGATTCTGAGAATTTGTTTGACTTTCTCTCAATATATTAGAATTTTTTCTATTAATTTTATGAATTAACTTGTGGTGGAGGTTGAGATCAACCGGAGTTGTATCCCGTTGGCTTGAGTTCAATAACCACTCTACTTATGGGGTTTGCAAGAAGGCTAGTTATAGCACTCGACGAGTGTGGACTCCAACTGACACGTACTCATCGTTCATACTCGCCATCTCCTTTATTAGCATTGTCAGAGAATCTACTTTACTATTTAAAATTCGAGAGGTTCAGGTCATGAATATTTAAAACTTTCTTGTGATAATGAAATAAGTCTGGTTTGCTAATTTTGTAGAAATCTAATACTTGATTTATTATAAGATAATAATCACAAAAATTATGGAGATTTTGGACCATTATTGAAATGTCAATTTTGAGACCCACTATAAAGGCTTTGTATTCTCCAAAATCAGGTTCAAGTGTGGATAAAGAATTGAAGATAAAACAGTAGCAGCTAAAACGTAAGGTCTACCATATGTCTGACCATGCTTAAGTGCATTGCGAACTCTCCATATTTGCTAAACAACTCTAACAAATCATCCGACCCATTACTGGATTCTACTTTACTAGCCACTTAAGCTGACCCGTGAGTTCCTCAAAGGATTAAAAAGCTGGAATGATATAGCTCCATCTGTTTTAGCAGAGAAATAACCTCCTGCAACTGTTTACATTTAATTGAAATATGCGCAATTGTTTCTTCTTCCCCACAATTTCAAGGAGACAGATGTCTATGTAGGGGTGTAAACGAGTCGAGTCGAGTTTTAGTACTATCGAGTTTAGCGCATTAGTTAGAAAGCGTGCTTGAACTCGAGTCGAGCTCAAACTCGAGCTCGTCCCATTAAAATCAAGCTCGAGCCTGCTCGCGAGCCGCTCGATTCCGTGCTAGATTTCACATATGTATGGTTTTCCATTTCTTCCGCCCCATTTCTCATTTTCCCGCCTATGTTCACCTGTATTTTTAAATTAGGAGCAAGTGTCACTTGGAACGAGGCAATAAGTATTATGAGCCCACTATTAATGAGCAGCATGATGTATTTAGTAACATATACTATAATACATTTTATATATTATTTTAATTAAAGCACATGTGTCTGTTCCAACTCCCAAGCACCCGTATCCGTCCCGATACCCAAGCAGTAGAATGCATGCATTAACATATATTAGAATAAATATTATATATTATTTTAATTAAATAAGTAATTAACGAGCTGGCTCGTGCGCTCACGAGCCGAGCCTCATCATGCTCGAACTCGAGCTCGTTTATTGAACGAGCTCGAGATTGAGCTCGAGCTCGACTCGTGAACTAGATAAATTCGGCTCACGAGCTCATAAATGAGTCGAGCTCGAGCTAGCTCACGAGCTGGCTCGGCTCACTTACACCCCTAGCCTACTGAGCAGCCATCAATTAGTTGGGAGAGCATTTTGAACAATCTCCACCAAAAGAACTACTCTCTAGGATGTAGTTTAAGCTAACAGAGCCAACTATACAACATAGGATTGTTCGAAAGCCATATATGTAATGGTCTTGCCAATCTGCCAATGCATAAGCTCAGGACTGTCAGAATTAGTAGTATAATAATCCTAATCGACCGAATTCTTTCCATAAGTTTAGTCTAAAAGACCTCCTGAAGTTCTGGGACTATCCACTGAAATTCCTCATCTATAAATTCAGCAACTTGAGTGTTTACAAGTCTACAGTTATCAAAGAAAGATGGCCATCTCGGCAGTGGTCCATCCATCCAGAGTCAACACAATCATTTAAAAGATCAATTTTCGCACCATTATTAATCTTCCATCTAACAATATGTGAAAGGGACTGAGTACCTTCAATTAGAATTTTCCATATAGCAGAAGTACCACAAACAATAACATCATCCCAGATATCATTTTCATTTTTTGACCGTAGTACACGATTCAAGAGAGTATTATGCTTCATAAAGAAATCCCATGCTAGTTTAGCCCTCAGTGGTCCTTGCCATTTAGTGGGTGAGTGAAATCCCTTGGGAATAATAGAGCGAGTCATTAAGTACATCGGAAGTGTTCAAAAAACAAAGATCTAATCTAAGTCGCACGATAAATGCTGGTGTCCCCAAGCACTAACTTTTTTCTTGCTCTTCTGACGAGCTTCCCAAAATCCGGTGTAATCAATTTATGCAAAGCAATTTGCACCCCCACGTATTCAACTTCCACCACACGATGAAAATCCAGCACTTTAGCCACACTTCTCTGTTTTCAACCAATACAAGCTTTACTGAAAAGGGTAGCAGCTCTTAAAAATTATCTGTCCAGTCAGAGCAGCAGCTCTTCTGACGAGCTTCCCAAAGATCTAATCTGTTCATTGATATGCTGTCCAGTCAAAGAGCAGCAGCTCTTAAAAATTATCTTAATTTTATTTGCCAATTATTTTGATGCTTCAACAAACACTAATATGTCATCCGCTGAAGTCTTTTATTTATGGATGAATTGTCAGATAAAAATATGCATTATTTAGGACTCATATCAACATATATTATTATATTGTCACGCCATTCGGTTTGAAGAATGCTGGAGGTATATATTAAAGGGCCATAGTTCATATTTTTTTATGACTTTCTATCAGAAAATATAGTGCTATGTTGATGTTCTTGTTATAAAGAGCAGACACCAAAAATATCACCTTAATAATTTGAGAGATGTAGTTGAAAGATCAAGAAAATTTGATCTCAAGATGAACCCACTCAAGAGTGTTTTCTAAGTTTCTTATGGAAAGTTTAAAGCCCCATTTGGGTCAAAATATGGGTTATTATAGGAATTTCCTAGGGTATGTGGTACACCATCGAGGGATTAAGATCAATACTATCAAAATCAAGTCTATTATGGAAATGCCACCACTAAAAAGGCTTCGCTAGCTTCTCTTCTTGTAAGGGTAGCTTGCATTTATCTGATGATTTATCTCAAATTTATCTAAAAGGGTGTCAACCATTTGTAAAGTTGTTGAAATAGGATGTTTGTTTTAAGTGGGATGACGAATGCCAAGAAGCTTTTGACATTATCAAGAGACACTTGTTAAGCACGCCTATATTTACAACACTAATCCCGATGAAGCCTCTTATCATGTACAAAATGACATTGGAACAGTCCCCCGTAGCATGTTGGCACAGTATAATAAAATGGGAAAGGAGCATGCTCTTTATTATATCAATTGAAGGATGATCAGAGTAGAAGTGTGTTACTTCCCGATCAGGAAGCACTAATTTTTATTATATCCTTACTCATAAGATCACACTAATATCGAATATCAATATGTTGAAGTTCTTGATGATAATATCAGCGTTGATATATCATTTAGTCAGATGGGCAGTGATACTCTTACGATTTGATATTACATATGCTCTAAAAAATATAGTGAAAGGATAAATTTTACCATATTTTTTTGTTGTGCATCCTATTTCCGCAAATTCTTGATTAATGATAATCTTCCCGATGAGCAAATTCTAATCATCTAGGAGAAGGAAAAGCTAAAGATTTGTAAGATTACTTTGATGGAGCTTCATCAATCAAACCTGTAATATCTCCAAATCTTTCAAAATCTCAATCCAGTATCCATCTCATATTCATAATGACCGACGAGGTATAATGAAATATTCATTTAGTAGATGGGGTTGAACTGGTGTGTATAAAAAATTTTAATCTTTTGCGAAAGTATTTATAAATAAAACTTTATGGAAGTCCAATCATGATCTTCTCTTTTGTATGCTAGATTTCACTCTATCTTTTATATTTTCTTTTAACTAAAATATTAGATTAAATCAATAACCAACACATAATTATAATTTGCATTAACATAATCAGTAACATTTGTGATCATCAAAATCCTAGTGTGTGCACCAAGCTCATGGAGTTCAACACACGGATTTAGCATTCACGAGCTTCAGATAGCATATAAATTTTTTTGGACCTTTCTTAGTGTCCTTTGGTAGATAATGGGCTCACCCAAAATCAAACATTAGGTCTATCGTTGGCCAAATCCTAAATCCACTTAATGCCCAAAGTAGCCATTTGACTTGAGACTTGAGTTCAAAGACTCTTAGCCCCATCTTGAGTCCAACTCCTTCATACGTTTCTATAGTGTATGCATAAGTTTTTCTTTCATTATCTTGTGAAGGTATTCATTGTTTGGATCTTCGTCGAATGCATTATGGGCAATCAGAACAACATCCTCCACCTCTAGTACATTGTTCAAAACATTGCCAAATGCAAAGATGTTCTAGTGATTTAGCTTACTCTGTAGTTTCTATAGAGGGTTGACAAATTATATTTAGGGATGTCTCAGTTTTTTTCTTCCATCAATCCCAAATCAGCGTGTGGTCCAAAATTGTTGAAACCTAAAGGGTCTTTGTTTTTGCTTGTGAGCTGTAGAAATAAAATAGTAATGGGACATGATCTTCAGTCATGTGTTTGATGTTGGTGCTAAACAGTAGTGTTAAGAAACTAAACTTACCAGTATAAATTGATTAGACATCTATCCAACCTGGATTGGATACAAGCTTGCTCTTATTTTTTTACACCAAGTTACTTGCATATATAAGGCATTGAGGTTACATTGATAAAAGACTAAAAGGTGATTTAACTCCCCCTAAATTCACTCCTAAAGTTCCTGAGCAACTCATGTTGCCATTGACCTAAAGATAACTAAGGTTGGTCATCCACATATCTAACTATGGAAAGAACAATAGTGCTCGCACAACATAAAAGAGGGAGATGTTGAGATCTGGGCTTAGTTGGACATGTGCTGCCATTCTGGTCCAGCTCTAGATCTTGAACATAGTGCCATGTTGCCCACCTATTTTCATGAAATTACGTAGACAAGAAAGATCATATCCTAGCCAGAAAAAGGAAGGATTTTTCTTTGTGATAAATGATGATAAGATGGAAGAAAGATAAAGGTAGAACATGCGCTTTATTGCCATCAAAGAAAAATCTTTATACTAAGGTTGATTATTCCACATGAAATTGAATGCATGTTATCAAAAGGTGGAGAAATGTTATTGATCACATAGGTTGGGTACTAGAAGTTGTTGATCATATCATTTGGGCAAATCATGGATTCCTTAGTAAATTTTATAGTACAACTACCTCAAAGTTTCTTTTGTTGTTCCGATCGATGAAGGCTTTATGGAAGGAGAGCTACACTTGGATTCATTTTGCTATTTTAGGTCCTAAAGCACATGCTTCAATATTATCTTGATTTGTATTCACTCTTATGTATTTTGAATCTTTAGAGATACCCTTAGAGCTTTGGGTCTTGATTTTTGAAATAATGAAGAAGGATGAAAGAAAGAAAGATGATATTATGAATGTATATCTTCAAAACATGAGCAAGGCTACCTAGTAATAAAAATAAATATCTTAATTTTTTATAATGATAAAGAAAAGGCAACATGCTTGTCAATTATGACACATGGGTCCACCCATGAAGGGGATAACACTGTGGAATAAAATAAGGGACATCTCATAGGACATCTAGACTTAATAGTCCTGACTTATTTGAAGATCATACAATGCACATATAAAAGATAACACTTCTCTTGAAATGTACACAATCTCTAAGAATGAGCTCCCTTGGGGAATAATAAGTTTATCATGGGGAGACAAGAACTCCACTGAGGAATAAATGAGGTCCATTGAAGAATAAGTCAAACTCTCATGTAAGAGTGAGGCACATATGGAGAAAACTCATATGTGAGCATGTCTTTGAATTATTGAAGAAATGTCAAACTCGCATGACATGTATCACGTGGTAGAGGGTAAATCATATTGGTCATGGGTTATCTAAGACAAGTGAAAATTTTCAAATAATTAAAGAAAGCAACATCATAACTCAGGAATGCATCAAGGGATAATGAGAATTGAAATAAGACATAAGAACTTATAAAGGTGCCAAATGTTGCTTGAAATGGAAGAATCTACTAGAATGACTAAGATGAATGATATCAAATGAGGCTTCAAAAGGACTAGCCTAAAAGAAAAAAAAAATTGAATAAGGTAGTGATGAGTACATATCATATGATTCTAAAGGAGAAATGATTGATTCATCCACTCTTCTCAGTAGGTCTACTCATGGTGGACACTTCCAAGGAAAAACATAATACTGATGGTGAAACTCAATAACAAAGGCTCCAATGAGGGAATGTAAGAGCTCCATTAAAGAATATTATTATGACATAAAAACTTATGCTCTTAAAGTGTAATGTTGGGTTCCTTCTATGCTAGTGGCAACCAAATTCACATTTAGTTGAAGCTCTCTTCTTTTTTAGAAAAAATCCTAAAATCAACCTATTTTGAAACCCTAATTTGACCTAAAAATTTTGAAAATTTCATATCAATTATAGAAAAATTATAAAAAATTGCAAGAAATTGCATTATACTCCTAATAGACCTTAAAACCTAAGAAAAACAATTTTAAGCCTCAAATACACACCTAATTAAACACTTGAGTTCCTTAATGATAATCCCCAGTTCAATTTGATAAAAATAATTAAAACTTTAATATAATTCTAATTGACTACAAATTAGGTGAAATTGAGTGTGGGCCATCCCTCAAAATCTAATCAGATTTGTAGACCATTTGACCAACCTAATGCAAAGTACAATTTGATATAATATACTTTATAGGCATAATATATATGTAACGGCACTAATCACCTTAATTATAAAATGCAAAAAATTTGAATAATAGTTTAATTAATTCACCTAATTAATAAAATTAAATTAATTTGCTTTCACTAATCATAATAATAAGATTTAGATCATGTGTTAAAGAGAAGACATTTAACTTTATACTATTGGCTTTAATAGGATAATTAGCCCTAGTTTAAATCACAAATAATATTGAACTACATAATACATTTATAAATAATAAATTACTGATTAATTCAATAAGCCTTAATTAGATTTATACTTCCAGAAGTTTAGGATATTTTTGTCCATGGGTTCGTGGCACTATGAACTCATGAATTGATATATTCTTGAAAACACAAATCCTATTAAATTTAATTAAATGATAATGATAAAAGATTTAACATATCTTAATTTAAAGTTAACAAAAAATCTTCCTTAGACTTATTAGTGGCATCTAACACTTAGCAAATGAAACGTCTAAGCCTAATTGTGGGCTTCGAAAATTCGTCCCCAGCCTCCGCCCGCATACTGTTTGTTTTACTTTTTCCTCGGATGAGATTTTTAAC